AAGATCTTAACCTGAAGTCTGCCCTACTGTGGCGAACCCTGCTTGTATGCCAGAAAGCAGACCCAAGCTGCCAAAAACCACCTGTACCATATCCTGCCCCGTTTGTCCTCCCGAAACTTCTGGTAAATAATGTCCATTGAAAAATGCTGATTGGGCTCAAATGGTGACCTGAGCAATAACACATCTCAGGAATGTGGGGGTGGGGTGGGGTAGAAAAAGGAGGCCACTGTGTTTTTTCTGACAGTCACCTCAAAACTGCTGGTGGCTTGGTGCTGGAAGGGTGTCACCCCAGCATGTTAGCTGAGCTGTGCGGCTTCTCTGAATGTTAATAACTTTCACTGTTTCAGCTTGTGTTTCCTCCTTGATATCACCAACTGAAAACATACGTCAGAGGTTTTGGGTTTCTGGTGCCAAATCCAAGCCGGTTTATGAGCAAATGCCCCCCGCCAGACAGTGGAGTCTGTGTGCTGGGGCAGAGCCGCTTTCCCTTTGATGCTGGTTCTTTTCTAAGAACTGAAAATAAGCTGCAGAGGCTGTGACTTCACTTTTTTTGGAACTGCTTTACATTACCCCAAAAAATGCAGAAAACCCTCATTTAGCAGCTTTAGGATTGCTGAGTTCTCTAATTCTTTCTGTTGCATATTCTTGTAATGCTTAAGTTTGACTGACAAATTCTTCTGCATCAGGCAAAGTGGGAGGAGGAAGGAATGACCATGTGAAGGAACTGAGTGCTTTGTTGCTTGGCTTGCTTGTGGTTTAATGGTTGATGAGAAAAAGCACCTGGAAGAGACACTGTGTAGAATGCCTTCCAATTCCAAGGGTTGCAACCCTGTGATCTGTTGGCCAGCAGTTGGCTAGGGCTGGGGCAGATGAACATCAGGCTACAGCCCAAACTTACAGAGCAGCTGCAAGGACAAGGGGAAAAAAGCATTTTCAGCCATAATGACCTACATTTAGTAGATACTTTGGAGCTCATGCAAAAGGACATCTTCAAGGGGCCTCTGCCTCCTTGCAATAAGGGAGACAGTGATGTCAGCCAAACCTGGGGTCTGGTCCTGGCCCTGCCGGTTCCTGTCTGACTTTGGCCTTGAAAGTCAGTCTGTGAAGTGGAGACCATTCTTCCTTTGAAGGGTGGTACCTGGTAGGTTCTTGGGAACTGAATTAGGTTTCCCCTCTTGAGAGTGGGTGTCTGTAGACAGTCACATACACTGTTCTAAAATCATCGGTTGCTATCTCTGTCTCTGTTGGAGGTGCTTCCAGTGATGTGTGATTGTGTCTTACTTATCTTAGTATCCCTGCCCAGCATGGGGTCTTATGTAACATACATGGGCAGTCAATCAATGTTAGGACTGGCTGGGTTTTAGGCTGGAAGACAGTAGAAATATACAAGCAAAGACATAGTGAATTTACACTTGGCCTGCAGCAGATTTCAAATGAAAGGAGCTCCCTGCTTAGGAGGGCCTTTTCAATTAGGCCCCCTGTATAGTTTATAGTGAACCTAAGGGCGATGGCTAGACTGTTGGGGAGTGCTCTTTAAGTACAGAGGGAAGACTTGGGAAAAACATAAAAGCATGGAGGAAAAGGAGCTAGGCAGGTGAGTCCAAAAAATGATTCATGTAGTTTGGACAGAATCTGAAATGAGAGGCCTTCGAGATTGACTCTTGATAAAGAATGCAAATTCAGCTGGGCTCAGTGGCTCACACCTGTAACCCCAGCAGTTTTGGAGGCTGAGGCAGGCAGATCACCTGGGGTCAGGAGTTCAAGAACAGCCTGGCCAACATGGCAAAACCACATCTCTACAAAAAATGCAAAAATTAGCCAGATATATTGGTCAGGTGAGGAGGGAGGGTGCCTGTAATCCCAGCTACTTGGGAGGCTGATGCAGAAGAATCACTTGAACCCAGGAGACAGAGGTTGCAATGAGCTGAGACTGCACCACTACACTCCAGCCTATGCGACAGAGCAAGGCTGTGTCTCAAGAAAAAAAAAAAAGAATGGAAGTTCAACAAAGAATTAAGTGCCGGGGACTGTGCTAGAAGCCGTCTCATGAGTTGCTTCATTTTACTGTCCCAGTACCCCTGGGAGGTCTGTTTCCCCTGCCCCCTTTCACAGCTGTGAAAACTGCAGCCATGGAGTGAAGTCCTTTGTCCAGGGGCTCTGTCCAGCCACAGAGCCAGGTTATGAACCGGTAGGTGCCCTTCATCATTAAGGACACTCTGTTGTTGCAGGTGGCCAGGACCAGGCCCTTCCCTACAGCAGCTCTTCCCCAGGGCTGCTCTGGGAGCTGAAGGTCTCTGCATGGGCACTGACACCCTCTGATGGTCTGTGCTTGGGAAATGGGATGACAACCAGTCACCAGAAAACAAAGGCATAGAATGAAGCAAAGAATTAAATGGGCCATGAGAAGCTTCACTCCTGTTTACCAAGGAGTTCTGCCCATTATGGCCAGGTCAAGGTGGGTGTGGAGGGCTGCTGTATTTGGGAACCAGATGAGTTCTGAAGGGCTTGCAGTGGGGCCAGCCCCACTGTTCATTCATTGATAACCTTGGATGGGTTATTTCACTGCCCTTCTGATATCCATAGAAACAGGATGACATGGGGTCAGAGAGGTTGAATCATTCACCCACATGGCTGCTAGCTGGAATCCAGTGCTTAAAAGTTTACTTTAGTGGCTCATGCCTGTAATCACGGCACTTTGGGAGGCTGAGGCGAGCGGATCAGCTAAGGTCAGGAGTTCAAGACCAGCCTGGCTAACATGGTGAAACCCTGTTTCTACTAAAAATACAAAAAATTATCTGGGCATGGTGGTGCATGCTACTGGAGAGGCTGAGACAGGAGAATCGCTTGACCCCGGGAGGCAGAGGTTGCAGTGAGCCAAGACTGCACCATTGCACTACAGCTTGGGCAACAAGGCTGAAACTTCGTTTCAAAAACAAAAATAAACCACAATATTCACTTTATCGGCCTTTCTGTGGCCGAACACCTGCTGGGTTCCAGGCTCTGGGGATACATGAGGTGGATGAGAGACATGGTTGCTCCCTGTGCAGTGCGGTGACTTCTCAGACATCCCATTCCTCCTTATGATTCCTGTTTAAACCCAAGAAAGTCCTGTGCTTTTAAGAATGCGTGTGGTTAGATTGGGCTCACCTGGGTATCCAGGCCAATCTTCCTGTCTCAAACCCCTTGTTAATCCCACCTGCAAAGTCCCTTTTGCTACGTAAGGTGATATATTCAGAGGTTCTCAGGATTAGAGCATTTATATCGTGTAGGGAGGGACAGTCTGCCTATCTAGTCAGCTCTCTAGACCCTGAAGATGTGTGTTCATCCCAAATACAAAATACATCCACCCTGCCCCAAGGCCTCATCCCATTATAACATCAACTCAGGAGTCCAAAATCTGCTCTAAATCTCATCACTGAAAACACCTCAGTCTGTCATGGGGAGGCTCTGGGGATGACCCATCCTGAGCAGTTGCTCTCCCTCTGTGAACCTGGAACTCACTAAACCAGTTAACTGGCCCTAAAGTGTAGTGAGCAGCCACCCAGAGGGGTACAATCTAGTTCTGTCCCTAACCCAAGGGACCTGATATGTGATATGGGCAAGAAAGATAAGCAAGAAACAAAGAGCCTAAACACCCAGAAATACCAGATCACTAAGCCTCCTTCCTCCTGGTCACACAGGACAGGGAAAGGAGTTTCTCCAAAGGGTCTGCAGCACCGAATTCCGTGTCCTGTGAGCTTGGGAGAAGGCCGAGCTAGATGCTTTCCTTCTTCGGGTACTTCTCATTTTAGAAAGTGAGTCGAGCCAGACGCGGTGGCTCACACCTGTCATCCCAACACTTCGGGTGGCCAAGGCAGGCAGATCTCCTGAAGCCAGGAGTTCATGACCAGCCTACCCAACATGGCAAAACCCTGTCTTTACTAAAAATATAAAAATTGGCCAGGTGTGGTGGTGGACACCTGTGGTCCCAGCTACTCAGGAGGCTGAAGCAGGAGAATCGCTTGAATCCAGAAGGTGGAGGTTGCAGTGAGCCAAGATTGTGACCCTGCATGCCAGCCTGGGTCGCAGTGAGACTGTCTCAAGAAAAAAAGAAAGAGAGTCAGAGTTAGGGCCTGTCCTGGGATCTTCCATCAGACGACTGTGCATTACTTGCAGGTGAAAATTTTCCCAGAGCACAGCTAAGCCTCGTTGTCCTATGTGTAGAACTCCTGCATGTAGCTAATTATCAGCTCCACCTGGGCTGTTTTTACCTGGTCCTATCCATATCTGCAATTAGAATCCGCGTGCTGGAGGCTCAAGAAAATCTAAGCTTTTAGAAAGCTCTCAGTCAGTCTCATCATCAACCAGGTTTGGCAGGCACGGATCTACAGCTTTCTGGTCCAGAGACACCTGGGGCACAGGAGGGGTCAGAGCTGCCCCTGATGCTGGTTGTGAACTGGTGAAGGCTCCCTCGAGTGGGAACCCTGGAGCCCAGGGGACCAGGACCAAGGGGTCCCTGCCTGCCCCAGGCTTCTGAGGAGGAGAGGAAAGGAAGGCTGGAAAAGCCTATGTGGAGAAATAGAGCTGCTCTACCTCCTGGATGTCCAGGGCCATTCTTGATACTGGGCCGTTGCAAGGTAATGATATCAAGTTCCCTTTTTAAAAAGCCCTGTGACTGGGTGCAGTGGCTCACACCTGTAATTCAGCATTTTGGGAGGCCAAAGTGGGTGGATCACCTGAGGTCAGGTGTTTGAGTCCAGCCTGGCCAACATAGTGAAACCCTGTCTCTACTAAAAATATAAAAATTAGCTGGATGTGGTGGTGTGTGCCTATAATCCCAGCTACTCAGGAGGCTGAGGCAGGAGAGTCTCTTGAACCCAGAAGGCACAGGTTGCAGTGAGCTGAGGTCACTCTATTGCACTCCAGCCTGACTGTCAGAGTGAGATTCCATCCCCCACCCCACCCCCGGCAAACAAGTGAGCCCTTTTACAGAAAACAAGTAAACAATAGTACAGTGGTACCTGAGTGACTGATGTGTGGGTATTTGCTTCTCCTTGATGTTCTAGAGTGGAGCTGCGCTGTCTACTGTGATTGTCAGAAGCCTCATGGATCTAGGGAATACTTGGAATGTGTTGGTGTGACAGGCAAAGTTGCCAAACTCAGTAAATGGAAGTTGAGGATGCCTCCTCCATCAGCGTGGGCTGTGCACAGTGACTTCCTTCCAGAATGGAAAGGGGGATAAAAGAGTTACTTTACAGTGGCAAAACCTGACAGACTGCCCTAGCCAGCCAGCCAGCCAGCCAAGGTTAACATAGATACCCCATGTGAGTGGCACACCTGGGTAAGACACCAGAGGCCCTGGGGGGCAGGACTTAGAAGCTTCAAATTCCACAGCCACTCCTCTTCTCACTGCCCTCACCTTGCTCCTGCAGAGAGTAGTGACAGTACCCTAAGGGGCCTTTAAGAGCCTGATGGGACCACAGGAGGTCTCTTGGAGGCCTGGAGAGGCATGTGAGGACTTGGCGTTTTCCATAGATATGACAGCCGGGGTTGGTGCTTGAGACCTCTGGTCAGAGCTGGTAATGCTGCATAATGAATTACCACAAACTTAGGAGCTTAAAAAAAAAAACAAATGTATTGGCCGGGTGCAGTGGCTCACACCTGTAGTCCCAGCACTTTGGGAGGCCAAGGCGGGCAGATCACCCGAGGTTGGGAGTTCGAGACCAGCCTGACCAACATGGAGAAAACCTGTCTCTACTAAAAATACAAAAAATTATCCGGGCATGGTGGCACATGCCTGCAATCCCAGCTATTTGGAGGCTGAGGAAGGAGAATCGCTTGAACCTAGGAGGCAGAGGTTACAGTGAGCTAATATCGCACCACTGCCCTTCAGCCTGGGTGACAAAGCAAGACTCCATCGCAAAAAAAAAGAACAGCCTTGATTCCTCCCGAGTGTTGATACACTTGCTATAATATTTATTTCCACTATTATGAGTTACCTGCTCCCAGGGCTGCCCTGCCCATTGCAAGACCTCTTCTGTCTTCCCAAGTGTGAGGTAGTGTTTTCTCTGCCTTTACCACATTCTCTACATCTCTCGCTGGTGTCACAGCCCTTTAAGGAGAGTGAGCACATTGATTCTGGGATCTTGGTCTCCCCAGTTTGGCAGCAGGCCCCAACTTGGCATGACAAATAAATGTCAGTGGAAAAAATCTTTTTTTTCCTTTTTTTTGAGATTGAGTCTTGCTTTGTTGCCAGGCTGGAGTGCAATGACACAATCCCGGCTCACTGCAACCTCTGCCTTCCAGGTTCAGGCAATTCTCCTGCCTCAGCTTCCTGAGTAGCTGGGACTACAGGCACGCACCACCATGCCCAGCTAATTTTTGTATTTAGAGATGGGGTTTCACCATGTTGGCCAGAATGGTATTGATCTCTTGACCTTGTGATCTGCCTGCCTCAGCCTCTCAAAGTGCTGGGATTACAGGTGTGAGCCACCACACCCGTCTGGGATAAGTCTTTTTTAAAATGCACGTATATAGTAAAATGCATATCCCAGCACAAACATTATTGTGCCTGTTGATGTGTGTCTTCAGAAGCCTGAGGTGGGGAAGTTTGGTAGGTGGAAGTAACTTTCCATCTCCTTTCTCATAGCGTGGCACATGGAAGAGATTTTGGATTTAGCATTTCACTGTGAGCATCCTGTTTATTCCATGGTTTTGGGCCTTTAGTACCAAATTTTCTTGAAAACCTTGTGAAATTATTTATGCAGAAAGAATAAATGAGGAATCTTGGGTAATGGGCAAGCAACCAGCCAGTTTTGCAAAAGCTCCAACATGGGTGGTTTAACTAATTGGAAAAACATGTCTCATCTCAGCTGACTTAATCCTTTTTGCAGTGCTGGGGGCCTTAAGTGTTCCCGGAAGGTTTAAGGAGCATAATCAGCTCCCAAGATGGTCAGCACAGTGACAGAAAAGGACAAAGGGCTCGGCCTGCATCTGAGGGTCCTTCATTCATGGCCAGCTCTGTCTAGTGGAGCAAAGACCCTGTCTTTCCTCAGCCTTCCTGGCTATGGCAGGGGCATGGGGTTGGGAGAGCAGAGCGTGGGCACTTGTTCTGGCTGGAAACTTAGCCTTCAAAACAAGGTTCCAGAGGCAGAGTTTGAGACACAAACAGGAAAAGGAGATGGCCAATGTTGATGCTCTCAGAGCAGAGGGTCCTGAACTGTCTGATTATAAGCAAAGTGTTGGGTCCTTATGTACTTTTACAAAGTTATTTTCAGAGACATGGAAGTCACTGGACCCACTTTCTCTTCCTCATTGGAGGTCTCTGGAAAAGAGTGTTCCCAGGGACAGATGATCTGGCGGGGCCATGGCCCCACCAGTGTCCTTAAGAGGGAAAGCTCTGTCAGCAGAGGGAACCTCAGCCCCGACTAATCCCACAGGCACTATGCTGTGATCTGCAGACACCAACAACCTGCCCTAAGACTCCTGTCTGAGAGGCCGAGTCGGTCCTAGTCCTGGCTTTACTAGCCAGTCTCAGTCCCTGACTTTGTTTCTTAGGGGGCTGATGCAATGTTGTTTGTAAGATGGAGCAAATGGCATTGCTCCTACCCCCACCAGGGTGGCATCAGGATGAAATTCAACACAGGAAGCACCCTCCCCCACCCCTATGGACCAAAGAGGTGATGCTATTAGAGTTATATGGGTTTGTGATTTCCCCTTACTGTTTCCACTTCCTTCCTGAAACCCTGCAAGAGGGTGTGCATGAAAGGAAGGGTCTTTCAGATGCCTAAGTGCAACTGGGAATGTCTGTTTCCAGTTAGCCAGGTTGGTTGGAGCCCAGGGTGAGTTGGCTGGGTTGTGGGTTTGAACCACCAGAGCCACTGAAGCACAGCTGGCCCGCTGCCAAGTGCTGCCAACCATCCTGCCAATGCCACCATTGCTCATGCCTGGGAGACATTCCAGCGTTGACCAAAAGGGTTGCTGGGTCTTGTCCTGCTCAGGACAGGCCACTGTAGAATGATCTATTGTCATACTCTAAGGACAGATCTTGGTTCTTTGCCTCCCAGGGACCCTGAACACAGAATGCCCATAACAGGACCCCAGCCCATGGGCACAGCCCCTCTTGTTAGTATTAATTATTCACTTATGTGAAATGTACCCTCTCTTGAAGAGGGATACAGCCAGTGATTAAAACAGTTGAGGGCAGTCACCAGGCTGTTTCAGGCTCCATTAGGTAATGGCTCTGAGAGGGTTACTTTAGAGCAAGGGAAAGGTCTCCCTGTTGGAAGGGCTCTGTGCCTGGCCAGCCCCTTACTTTAAATCCCGGCCTACTCTAGCCACCCAAGAATCTTCATTAAGTGGCTCTGAAGTAGGAACTGCCACTTAATTTTCAAGGATCAGCACAAAATGAAAATAATTTTCAGAAAGTAAGATTCAAGTGGGCTCGGTGCAGTGGCTCATGCCTGTAATTCCAGCACTTTGGGAGGCCAAGGCAGGCAGATCACAAGGTCAGGAGTTCCAGACCAGCCTGACCAACATGGTGAGACCCTGTCTCTACTAAAAATATAAAACTTAGCTGGGCATGGTGGTGGGCACCTGTAATCCCAGCTACTCAGGAGGCTGAGGCAGGAGAATTGCCTGAACCCAGAAGGTGGAGGTTGCAGTGAGCCAAGATCACACCACTACACTCCAGCCTAGGTGACAGTGCGAGACTTATGTCTCAAAAAAAAAGAAGAAAAAAGACTCAAGCAGCAGAGCATTCAAGCAAGCGTTAGGGATCCTTCTGAGTGCAGGGCCCTGGCTGCATAGTTTTTACACTGGCCCAGGTTTGGAGAGAGTGCAAGGCAGGCAGCTGGCCTGTACCATGTGGGTGAACTGAGTCACCCTACCCTTTGCAGGGGTTGAGGAGGATCTTTTCTAGGCTGTTGGCCTGGGCAGGGCTGATGACATGAGTGGGGCTTGTCCTGGTCTGGGCTGAATATGATATACCAGGACAAGTTGAAGGGAGGGGGATTGGAGGGTGCTCCAGGGAGCATCATTTCTGTACAACAGGAAGTCCCTGAGCTTAGACACATGACTTAATCATCGGTCACAAGGTTCAGAGCAAAACGCCAGAAGGCCAGGCAATGATGCATTGAAACTGTCACTTACCCAAGTTAGAATTTTCCAGTATCATTAAAAAATGTTTTATAGATATGAGGTCTCACTGTGTTGGCCAGGATGATCTTGAACTCTTGGTCTCAAGTGATCCTCCTGCCTTGGCCTCCCAAGGTGTTGGGATTACACTCACGAGCCACTGCATCTGGCCTCTAACACTGTTTTAAAATTTTTGATATATCTAATTTATGGATTATGCCTGTTTTGTTACTTCCATTAGAGAAAACCGATCGATCTGGCAATGCGAGGTGGCTCCTGCCTGTAATCCCAGCACTTTGGGAGGTCGAGGTGGGCAGATCACATGGCGTTTCTCCTGTGCGAGTTTGAGACCAGTTTGGATAACATGGTGAAACCCAGCCTGTGCTAAAAACACAAAGATTAGCCAGGCATGGTGATGGGTGCCTGTAATCCCAGCTACTCAGAAAGCTGAAGCAGGAGAATCTCTTGAACCCATGAAATGGAGATTGCAGAAAGCTGAGATTGTGCCACTGCACTTCTGCCTGGGCTACAGAACAAGACTTTGTCTCCAAAACAAAACAAAAACAAAAACAACAACAAAAACCTTCAAAAGCAGATTTTTGTCACAGCCAGGTGACCTTACTAATCACTAGCCATGGGTGTACAAGGTCAAATGAAATGAGGCAAAATAACTTATACCTTGTTTTCTTTGCCTTTGGCCTTCAGCCCCATGCATTCTTGCAAATGCTTTGCCCACGGCAAACCTTTGAAGACCTTAACTTTTCTGTTTTAAGTGAGATTTCCAAGTGAATTTATGTTGTCTGGAAAGACAATCCCTTTACTGGAGAGCAATTGGTATTTGAAGAGAATGAGATCAGGTTGCTAAGGACACCCTTGTTTGCAATTTTAGATTTATATAAATTATTGGTGAATGAGAAAAATAAGTTTATTCTTTCTTTCAGATGGTAAATTGGAAGGGAAGTGTGTTGCAGGGTAAAGTGAGTCATGGGGTATGGGAGGCTCAGATGGAACAGAGTTCTGGGACGCCTCTCTTTCTTGACTTGGGACCTCTAATTCACCTACCAGGCCTCAAATTAAAAGACAAACAAAGGCTTCTAATCTAGTTGGGTGGGAACAGAAAAATTCTTCTGGGTGGATGGATAGGGGAGGGAGGAGGAAGTTTGCAAAAACTGAAAGAGGACTTTTTTGGGGAGAGAGGCATAGATCTCTTGTTTAATTGCTAAACAAAAATATCATTTGCAGT